CACCAACACTCACCACCACCATCACCACCAACACTCACCAACCATCACCACAACACTCACTCACCATCATCACCATCACTCACCATCACCACCATCACCACCAACACTCACCATCACCAACACTCACATCACCACCAACACCTACCATCAGCAACACTCACCACCATCACCAACACTCACCATCACCAACACCGCCACCATCACCAACATTCACCATCGCCACCAACACTCACCATCACCAACACTCACCATCACCAACACTCACCACCAACACTCACCACCATCACCACACTCACCATCACCAACACCAACACTCACCATCACCAATAACACTCACCATCACCACCGACACTCACCATCACCAACACTCACCACCATCACCAACACCTACCATCACCATCAACACTCACCACCATCACTCACCATCACCACCAACACTCACCCTCACCAACACTCACCAGCACCACCACCACACCTACCATCACCACATCACCACCATCACCACCATCACCACCAACACTCACCATCACCACCAACACCACACCACATCACTCACCATCACCACCAACACTCACCATCACCAACAACACTCACCACCATCACTCACCATCACCAACACTCACCACCATCACCACCAACACTCACCATCACTAACACCTCACCATCACCAACACTCACCACCAACACACTCACCATCACCAACACCACCATCACCAACACTCACCACCAACACTCACCATCACCCAACACTCACCATCACCATCACCAACACCTACCATCACCATCAACACTCACCACCATCACTCACCATCACCACCAACACTCACCTCACCAACACTCACCAGCACCACCAACACCTACCACACCACCACCATCACACCACTCACCATCACCAACACTCACCACCATCAACCACCACCACATCACCACCAACATCACCACATCACTCACCATCACCACCAACACTCACCCATCACCAACAACACTCACCACCATCACCACCATCACCAACACCACCACCATCACCACCAACACTCACCATCACCAACAACACTCACCACCATCACTCACCATCACCAACACTCACCACCATCACTCACCAATCACCACCATCACCACCAACACTCACCACCATCACTCACCATCACCACCAACACTCACCATCACCAACAACACTCACCACCATCACTCACCATCACCAACACTCACCACCATCACCACCAACACTCACCATCACCAACAACACTCACCATTCACTGAAGGTGGCGCAACAAGTGGGGGCAGCAGTGAGAGAATCAAACTGAGATTTGGGAATTATACAGTGTACCTTTGAATACAAAGATGGGAAAATGCTCCTTCAAATTTACACATCTCAAGTATGTCTCAGTCTGGATCAATGTACACAGGCATGAAAATCCAACCTCCAGAAGGATTTAATATCCCTAGAGAAAGTGCAACACAGAGCAACTAAGATGATTCTGGAACTATGTCATCTGATTATCCAAGTAAATTGAGAGCCTTAGGAAACAGCCCTTCAGACAAGGCACAATAGGGCAGATCTCACTGAAACTTTCTAAATCCTGAAAGGCATGTAAGACATAAACCCGAGCCACTTCTTAGTGATGTTAGAAACCACCAACATTAAGGGGCATAAAGTCAAGCTTGCCAAGTTCTCATGCAGAACGAACATTAGGAAATACTCTTCACACAGAGGGTGGTAGACCTATGGAATGGTCTACCAGCCCAAGCTGTGGGATAACAAACAGTACTGGGTTTCAAAATAGCCCTTGACAAAGTTATCAGGAATAATGGAGGGGTCCTACACAGGCCACTGGCCTCCTTACCTTAGCATGGCCATCTCTAGTAGGTGGCCATTAGATAAATAAGGTAAATAATTTAACAAGAAAAAGTAGAACACCATAAATATGTTTCATGCTGGCAGGCTCTCCACACGCTTGTTGACACTTATGTGCATCAAAAATGACTGAGCAGTTATGATTTTATATACTGTACACATCAAATATAATGGAGAGTTTTAATACAGGAATCCCTCGATATACGTACTGTATAATCCCGACTTATGATTCTTTGGTTTAGCAATTTAAATTTTTTAACACCCTTTCTTTGCAATGTGACTGGACTTTCTCGGTTTAATGATTGCTGTGTTTGGTAATTGAGGGGAAAATCACTCCCCAGCAGCTCCATGTACTGTAAATCTTCCTTTTTGTTTGTCATCCCAAAATGGCTGCCATATGCAGAAACACATCCATTATCCTCTGTGCAGGGAAGTACTACCCACAAGCCGTTTCCTGAATCTTTCTTCTTGAGCCTGTACCCATATTTCTGTGTACTGTAATAAAATAAATCCACATACAGGTAAACCTCTATTTATGATATCCTAACCTACAACAATTTGTGTTAAGAATGCTGATACAGGTATTTTAAGACCACTCCCTTATTTGCAATGTAAAAAATTTGCATTAACGATATTCGTCATCCCGCCAAGATGACATAAGTAATATATATTATTTTGTTTATTTATAATATATTGTACATGTACAGTCTCGTTCAAGATTCTTCGAACACTGCTGGAGACAGCTGACAACTCAAGGCCATTTGTTTACTATAGTACGTTGTATAAATTATGAATGAATGTAAAAACCCAACCATTAACTAAGCAACGGGGAACTAAGTAACCAATCACCGATCACTTTTACATTCATTCATAATTTTTACTACGTACAGGTACTATAGTAAACAAACTGCCTTGAGTTACCAGCTGTCTCCAGCAGTGTTCGAAGAATCTTGAACGAGACTGTACATTGGTGTTTGTGTAAATAAAAATGGCTCTTGTGTCAGTCCGTGTGAGATGTATCGCTTAGACTTGGGTAAACTGTGGAGAATTCCACTGTGACAAACGGCTCCATTCGCGAGGTGCCTCACACGCCCTTATCATATACAGGTAGGTTTTTAGTTTTTTAGAAATATTTATTTAACCAAACTTTTAAATAAATTATTTGGGATTACAGGCATTTTAGTAAAAAAAATGGTGTTTCTCACTTAATTAGAACTGATTTTATAGATTCTGGTATCAACATTTCTTAGGGTTTTTCACAAAAGTCCCCAACATTATGTTATGTCAAAATATTTTGTTTAAGGATCTTTTATTGGAAAAGTATAGGAGAGAATTTATTAAGGGTTATTATGGTATCAAATTCATCTCTCTAACACCTCTAAAACAGATGCTGTGAATAAAAGATTATACAGTATACTTTTTCACCTGGGTAAAGGAGGTTGTGGAGAGTGAGTGAGGGATGAAACGACCTTTGGGGGAGAAAATAACCATGCAGACATCAACCTGCCCCAGAGGGTCGCCTCTCACCCATTGCCTGTCACTGACTCCTGTCTCTGTCACTCATTTTGTCATTCATGATACAATATTGTTTATTTATTATTAATTAATAAGTAAAGATGTAAAAAAATAACATCATAAGGAATGCATCTCCATATAAGCAATGATACCAAATTCATTTCTCTAACACAATTAGAGCAGATGTTGTGAATAAAAGTTTATACACATTTTTGCGAGCCATGAATATATTTGCTACTTAGCTTTTGTCTTTATTCATCTTCAGGTCATGAGACCCACTAATCCCCATCTTGACAATGGGTGACCTGACATTGCATGGGACCACTAATCCCCAACCCCACCTGACATTGATCAGGTCAGGTCAGTAACATGAGACCCACTAATCCTTTATCACACCTCCACTGCAACATTTATTACTTTTTTTGTAAAAGAATTGAGTCCCATCATTACTATTGTGTTTTTGTGACTTTGAAGTGAGCAATGTAACTTTGAAAATGTCTGGCAAGCATATTGCTCGCCACCTTTGAAACCAGGACGAAGGCTACACCTTCAGTCCCCACTCTTCAGACTCCCTAAATAAAGTCTGTGTGGGACTCAGGTTGATGTCTCCTCTCCATCTTAAGAGTCCTCTTATCCTTGAAGAGGACATATGATGTTGACCAGACTTGTTTATTATGATATGGTGAGTGTTGTTTAATTGTGCTATTAGTCTTCTAAGTACTGTATTCTAAGATTTTTTTTCGGTGATATATATATGGGAGTCCGACTGGCCAGGAACCTATCCCATTGAACCCCATGTTATAATGAACCTCATTTACAATATTTCGACCTGTGATTGGGTTTTCAGGAACCTAACCCCATCACAAATAGAGGTTTACCTACCTTTATCTTCAGTGAAAAAGGTTAAGCTGACTTGCATACTGCTTGAGACTTTTACACTCATTCACAATATTTACCATATCTCCAACTGTTGCTTTTCATTTTCATGCATAGTTTGTCTATACTTTGCATTATTTTTACTGGTTCACCGCATCTCTTATATGATTTATATTTCCTTAAAATTCAATTCAAGTCATTAATTGCAATGACTCATATTTATTCTATCAGTTTGGTAGTAACAAACATCATTTGATATTACTGTATTACAATACAGTATTCCAGATTTATTAAACAGTGATATCACCGTTAGCCAGAACAATTGGTGCAGAGCATTTCCGGGAATGAGAGATTTCCAGGTAGCGAGACGACTCTTTCAAAGCCAGAAAAAATCCCTCATCATTTTCTGGAATTTTCTGGGCAATAAAAAAATGTTTTCAGAAGTTCCACTCATTGCCCATTACATCATCTCTCGAACCCAAAAAAATATTCCCAACCCTGTAATTTTTCGGGTATTGGGAAAAAATTTTGGAATTTTTTGGAAAATGAGCCCCTTGGAAAATCGTTCCCAAAGCTAAACTTTTTTGGAATACAGTATTCTGGTTTTGGGAATGATTTTCATGGAAAATTTTGATTCCGGCTATCAGAGAGTTCCAGGTTTGAGAGATTCCATCTAATGGAGATATTACTGAATTTGTAGAGGTACTGAACATATCACCAAATAATATAGAGGAAAAAAATTATGGGATCATACTGTAACTGTGGTGTTACTACGGGGTGGTGGTGGCTGGTAGGTCAGGGCTCCATCAAAGGCATCCTCCAACATATGGCCTTCATCAATATCATTGACTGTGAATGTTTTACCACCAGTCAGCTGTGCAATTTTTTCTAACTTTGGATCTGCTTCTGCCCTAAAACATAAAAGGAAGCAGATATTAAAACACATTTACAACAATTTCATTGTAAAGTATTACAAGGTAAAAATATATAAAATGCTCTAATTTGTTTCAATAAGTATGAGATCTTAGCTATTTTGGAACACTAAGCACTATATTCACCCAAAGGCTACAGTAATGACGCGCACACCAGAATCCAGGACGTTCTGTAGGATGTCTTTAATTCTAGGGTTTTCATTTTCCTCACCATCGGTAATCAGTAGAATAACAGGGTTCTTCACATTTGCCAAGGTCTGTAAAAAATATCAAGTCTTAAACATATACTGTAATATTAAATTCCCAAACTGCTTGAAAAACAAAACAAAAAACAGTAAAATTAATGCCAGAAGACCGTAAATTTTCATGGCCAAAAACCGTTATCAACTTTACAGTTATTTAACTGCCTTTCCTTAAATTTTAATATATATATATATATATATATATATATATATATATATATATATATATATATATATATATATATATATATATATATATATATATATATATATATATATATATATATATATATATATATATATATATATATATATATGTATATATATATACACAGTAGTACCCCGATTTACGCGGTCAATTGAACCCACAGGGTACGCGGAAAGTGAAAACCGCGTAAAGTGAACAACAGAACATATGGGATTAATTCCAATAGAGACTGGCCCGACCCCCAAACTCCACTTTTTCCGACACAATACCTATGTTGTAGTAAAAATAACATCTAAATTTTATGATGGTATGCTCACACAATTAATATTTAAGAGAAATACAGTCGCCAGGTTAATGTCCATTCAAATAATGGACTCAAATCCCCCCCCCCCCTCTTCCCAGCTCACTAGCTCCTACCTCTCTGATTAATGTTTGGGTGAAAACTCTAGATTTTAACGTTTAGTAATAAATAATACCTCAGACTAAAGTTAGGATAATATAATTGACATTTCTGGATTCCTTGCAGGTCAGGGAATATTTTGAATGTAAACTTCATATATTTTGCACAAAAGATAAAATATTTGCTTTGTGTAAACCAAATTTTTACATTAGATCTAAAATTTGTATGTCTAATGCAAAATCCATGATGTTTATATTCAAAATGATCATCATATTGTAAGAATTCCAGCAATGTAAATTATATTCTGGCCGGGTAATTTGTATGAATTTTATGAGCTAAAACATATATCTTCAGTAAATAAACAAAGAAATATTCTTCAAGGACACTATCTGTCAATCAAAATACTCTGCCCTAGCTGGGTCGGTCCCTCCCTCCCTCCCTACCAGAGAAGCGATTGGGAGAAAATAGTATACAGTATTTACATTTTTAGTAATAAATAATAACTCAGACTAAAGTTAGGATAATATAATTAACATTTCTGGATTCCTTGCAGGTCAGGGAATATTTTGAATGTAAACTTCATATATTCTGCACAAAGGATAAAATATTTGCTTTGTGTAAACCAAATTATTACATTAGATCTAAAATTTGTATGTCTAATGCAAAATCCATGATGTTTATATTCAAAATGATCATCATATTGTAAGAATTCCAGCAATGTAAATTATATTCTGGCCAGGTAATTTGTATGAATTTTATGAGCTAAATAAAAAAAAACAAATTATACTTCACCGCGTATATGAGTAGATGCACCGCGGAAAGTGAAAGTCTGGTTCTGGCAAGGTACCGCGTAATGAGAAATCGCGGAAATAAGTGAAACCGTATAAAGCGGGGTAATACTGTTTTTAAGATGTCTGCGTATTTGTGACTCTGAATTTATTGACGATGAATTGAAACACATTCGTTCTATTGCACATAAACTTGGGTACCCTTCTGTGTTTGTTGATCGTTGCTTCAAAAGGGCTAAAAAATCTTTTCATTCCTCTCAAACCAGACAAGTTCCTACACTTAAGAACATTTTGACTCTGCCCTATCGTAATGAATTTGTCCCGTTAGTTCGGTCCCTCAAGCTTCTAAATATTAATGTTGTTTTCAAGTATGACTCCACCATTACCAATATGTTAATAAGGAATAGCCCATGTTTGAATGTAAATGGAAGTGTTTATTGTATTCCATGTAGCAAATGTAATTGTAATTATGTAGGTCAGACAGGAAAAACACTGCAGCTTAGAATCAAACAACATAAGTATAATATCAGAACTGCATCTGAAAGCAGTGCCTTGTTTGTTCATGTTAGGAATAATAATCACCCCATTGCTTGGGAAAAAAGCTTAGAAGTATTCAAATCATCTTGTGTCACAGAAAGACTTCTTGTTGAAGCTAGTTTGATTAAGGAATTAAAATCAATAAACCTTAGTGATGGTCAGTTCAAAACTGATAATATGTTACATAAATTTATTTGTCAGTGGCCCAAGGTTAAAAATGCTTTGAAAACCTTTGATCTAGATGTATGATAGTTATTTTGTGGGCCCCCTATTTTCTGACCTGACTTGTCTAGTCACGTCACCTCCCTTCTCTTAAGCTCCTCTACGTGTGTTGGTGTGGGGATTAGTGGATGTCATCATTTTGACCTGACCTCATGTTTTTAGGTCACCCTGTATATTTAAGCCTCTCTCTGTCCATGTAATCCAGTTGCCTCTGAAGATGTCTTGAATAAAGACGAAAGCTAAGGTACTCCGTTGTTTCCATCTTCCCGTGTGATTTTATCAAGATTTATCTTATCCACGTTGTCATTTACGTGGTACTTTGCCAGAAGCGGGATGCTTCATTTACGCGGTAAATGTGATCATTTATGCGGAGAGCGGCTGACGGTCCTCTTGCGCCGCGCCTTTTTTGGATTCAAACCTCCCGCCATCCCGCCATATTGGGTAAGCGGCACAAATAGATTGCGCAGTGTATGTCTCTGCTACGTTATCGGTGATGTCATATGACGTATCGGACTGTGATTGGGCCACGCATCCTTACCTCCCTCCCCGCTAGCTGCTAGCTGTGATTGGTTTAATGTAATATGACGTGCCCTGCCGCGGGAGGGATGAAGCCGCTGACCTAACCGTGTCAGTTACTCTCCTCCCAGTCACCCCGTGTATACTGTGTTCTATTGTTCGGATAATCTCGCTAATCTCGTAAGAATGGCTTCCAATGGACCTCCACCACCACAGAAAAACCTTGCATTACCTGGACCCAGCCTCCCTAAGCCAAAGAAGATACGACGTGCCCTCAGTTACGAGGTGAAGTACAATATAATACAAGAGTTAGAAAAAGGAACAAGACAGGTTGATCTCGCGCGCCAGCATGGTGTTAACGAATCTACGATCCGGACGATCAAGAAGGATGCAGCCAAGATAAAAGAACACATGAACATCACAAAGTCTGCAGGTGCTTCAATGTTGAAGTACTGCCAGAACAAGGTGCTTCTCAAGACGGAGAATTTACTTGTGAGCTACTTGATTTGTCAGGCACGACAGAACATGGCGGTGGACACGTGGTCGGTTCAAGAGTATGTACGTAAACTGTACGTAGCAGTGGCACATAAGATGGGAATTGCAGAGCCCAAACCCTTCAATGCTTCCTCTGGGTGGCTGCAAGGGTTTAAGAAGAGGAACAAGATCACCAACATTAACATTGGTGTTGAAGGAGCGAGTGCTGACCGTGTTGCGGCCAGTGATTTTCCTCCGTTCTTACGTGACGTTATGGAAAAAGGACAGTACACCGACGACCAGGTGTTCAACATGGATGAATCCTGTCTGTTTTGGAAAAAGCTACCTTACAAGACCTTCGTTGTCAAGTCTGCCAGCAAGTGTTGGGGCCAGAAGTTGCAGAAGGAGCGCATCACCGTCCTGTTTACCACCAATGCCTCTGGTACCTGTAAACTCAAATTATCGGTGATCCACACAGCCCGCAAGCCACACGCCTACAAGAACATGGACATGACCAAGTTAAATGTCCACTGGCTAACCGCACGTAAGGCGTGGATGTCGTCTGCTCTGTCCCTCTCCTGGTTTGACGACTGTTTCGTTCCCGACGTCAAGAAATTCTGCGAGAAACACAATGTTCCACTCAACATTTTGTTGCTCCTTGACAACGCACCAGGGCACTCGCCCCTACTGTTGGATCGTCACCCCAACGTAAAAGTGGTCTTCCTTCCTCCCAACACTACGTCGTTAATCCAGCCCATGGATCAAGAATTAATTTGTAATGTGAAGGCTGCATTCTCTAAAAAGAAGTTTAAGCTCCTGAACGACTGTACCAACACCAAGGATGAGTTGCGTAACCTGGGTGACACCGATAGCGAGAGCGACGAGGACGAGGAACGAGAGTTGGCGGATCAAGAAGTTCGCGTCAAACAGTTTTGGAAGAAATTTAACGTCAAGAAAGCTGTTGACTTCTTGGTGGAGGCATGCGATCAGCTGTCTGTAGCAACGATTCGTCACGCATGGCGGCATGTGTTGCAAGGTATCCCAGGTGGGAGGCAGAGTCAACCTGTGACTGGTGAGGTTCAGTCTGTTGCAGTGGCAGTGGACTTTGCCAGAGAAGCTGCGCAGAGTGTTACAGCTGCAGGCTTCTCCGAGACCACCAACGACGACATTATGGAGGTGATAAGGGATCCTGAGGTGACTGCCGACGAGATGTTAGAAGACGATCATGTCAGTGAAGAGACAGGTAGTGCGTCATCTCAAGAACACAAATTAATGCATGGTAATGTTAAGGATGCCATTGAGTGTGCAGAGAAACTGAAGCTCATCCTTTCCAACGACCCTGACAATAACTGCTATGAAATCTTCAAAAACCAGCTGTTGCACACTATGGAGCCGTACATCAAGGAGTATCACGACAACATCAACACTAGCCGTCAGCGTAACATCATGGACTTCTTCGCCCGCAACCCACCACAGCCAGCCCAAGCCAGTGATAGTGACAGTGATGGTGACTTTGAGGGATTTGTCAGGGAGGCCCTGACAACTATGGTGGACAGTGATGGTGATTCACTTGAGGGCCAGTAATCTGCCCTCTGCCTCAGAACGAGCCGCCATTCCCGTACGCCGACCCATCTCTTCTACTAACGTAAGTGTTAAACCTAACCTAATCTTGATTTTTTCTAACCTAACCTAACGTAAGTGCTAAACCTTGATTTTTTCTAACTTAACCTAACCTTACCTAAGTGTTAAACCTTGATTCTTTCTAACCTAACCTAACCTGACGTAAGTGTTAAACCTTGATTTTTCTTTTACCTGGTACAGTATATTATTCTCTTATTGATATTTCTCTTCTATATTATGTGTGTGTGCATACCATCATAAAATTAAGATGTTATTTTTACTACAACGTAGGTATTGTGTCCGAATTGTGTCGGAAAAGTGGAGTTTGGGGGTGGGCCCAGTCTCTATTTCAATTAATCCCATATGTTCTGTTATTTCATTTACGCGTTTCTCGTTTTACGCAGTACAACGCGGGTTCAATTGACCACGTAAATGAAGACCCAACTGTATTGTTTTGCACAAAAATTGCTTAAAAATTTTTATTTTTACATTTATATAATGGTACTGCAGTCAATAGGAAACATGGCTTTGATAAACAGAACAAAAGTTTTTTCAGCAACGTATTAATGTATTCCTCATATTCAATTACGTAGTCTTTTTTAGTTTTTCTCTCTTTCCCACCTTTTTGACTGCTACATACAGTCCAGCTCCAATGCTGGTTCCACCATCTGCTTTTGTCGTTATTGAGTCTGCAAGACCTTTTCGTGAAGCCTCATCGGTGATTTTAATCAAGCGATGAACCAACTGGGCATATTTGCTGTGTTACGGATTTTGAGTAAATACAGTATTAAACAACTATAACATAATTTTTATCAACACTACTTATTACCTTTATACTATACTGTATAAGCATTTATTTTTGCATATCATAAAGCCAGAAACTTTGTGTTATTTCACAAATCAGAAATAAATTTGTATAGCTCATATATAACCTTACTTCTAGCTATTGTCAGAAGCACTGTACCTAAATCTTATAATTGCTACGTAGCTTCCTGTTGCCACTTCATGTAAAATCCAACGTCGTGCTGTTTTTCGTAGCTTGTGGATACGGTAAAGATCATTCATGCTACCAGAGTAGTCTAATACTAAGGCATAGTTGGCATCAGCATGTTGTACAACTTGTATGTCAGGGTCCAAATACCTTTCAGTTGGAGGATTCCTACAGAATGAGAAAGCATGAATCATAATAATATGTAAATGATCAATTGACATCTAGTTAGTGCATTATATTTTTCTTTTTAGCAAATAAACACTACAGGGGGATAATCAAACAAACGTTATTGTCAAGTCTACTGTAATCAACAAGGTTTCCCCTTGCCAAAGACTGAAGATACTTGAAACCTGATGATTTGAACTAATGGAAGTTATATGACAGGAAAAACAGTCTGAGGCAGGGAGTTCCAGTCTAAGGTATAAGTGAATTTTGGTAGGTAGAGGTACTGTACTGCAAAACAGAATTTGAAAAAAAGTCATGGATCTTCTCAGATTCCTGTAGCGACCAACTGTGAGTGAGCATGGTGGTGGTAATGTTGACAGTAGTTCATCAGAACATTAACTGTGGAAGTATTTATAGAATGAGGAAAGTGATGAGTAGAGCCCACTTCAAAAGAGGCAAGCAAATAGGCAAGACAAACAGCCAAAATTGAGTACATATAAAACCAAATAAGTACTTATATTACTTCAAAAAATGATTACTGAATGCTGTACAATTATTATGCATAATATTACAACACTCTTAGTAAAATAAATGATAGTTAACCAATAACTTGTTGCAAAAACTGCTATTCTTTACTAATTTTCTCATTTGAAACTTTGCTGCTTCTCATAGAGAAAACATGGACATAAAAAAGTTACATTTACAGGTGTCCACATAAATTTTCCATAACATAGCCTCACTGTACATTCTCCATGGTATACTTCTCCAAAAAATACTTCAGAGACTTATCTTCCAGTTTCCACAGAGGAATGTTAGGGTCAACAAATGCCTTGCACAGGTTCAACGAAAATTGTGATTGCTGACAGGAAGCTGGTTTGCAAACAACACCAACTTTGTGCTTAGAAGTCTTTAAATTTAGAGAAACAAGGTACAGTACTTCTTCTTGCAGTTCACTGATTTTTGCAAATTTTGAAAAATAATACTGCCCCATCTGTAGACAACACAATGCTACCAAAGTCTTTAACTACATTGTTAAGTTTTAAACAAGCACTCACTTTAGGTATTGTAAGTGAAATGTGTCCAGCAGTGTTGAAAGAGAATTGATTGACTCAAACAGTATGGTCCATGTCGCAGAGGATGGAGTGCCATGCCAGGATATACAGTATTCACACATACTGAACCCATCATACACACACACACATCCAATACCCATTAAAACAATGCCATAGGAAATGTTAAATTTTAACATTAAATAATCTGCTTTGTGGAAAGGAGTAGGATATTCTTTTTTCTTTTAGGACATCCAAATACAGGTTGTACCTCTCTAGTCCGGCATTCTGTGGTCCGGAAACTCCCGTGGTCCGGAATGATTTTAGTTTGTCCAATAGGTAGATAGGCAGCTTTTTTTTTTTTTTTTTTTTTTTTTAATTATCTGAATTATTATTATTATTACAGGAGTATTAAATTTTTGCCCTCAGGCCCCAATGTGGGTCAGTGACCTATGCCCGGATGGGCTAATCCCCATAAAAAAAACAACAACAAAGCAGCGGGAAATTAAGGTTTGTTTACATCCGGCAGTTCGGCTGCTCTCTCTCTCTCTCTCTGCTTGTCTATACAGAGTACAACATTTAACCCTTCAATATATATGAGCAGTAAATAAGTGTTGCTTTCATATTCTTATGTAGAATAATGACGATATGTTTTCACATGTGCGCACTTACATACGCGCAATCTCACTTTTTTTTACCATTAATGGTTAGCTACTTATATTGTTCCATTTATTAACATTAAATAACGTTACAGGTACTTCAAACAACCATATTAATTTTTTTTAGATTAATTTTACTACAGCTACAATCAGGGTCTTATTTTCTTCAGTTTTATATGTAGAACCAGTCAGTCACTGGTTTTGTAATCAAAGAAAACAATGCTGTGTCATTTCCTCGTGTGTTTTAATATTCTACGTATTATTAATGAATTGTATTGCTCATTTTGCACACATAAACATTAATTCAATAAAAATGACATTCAGTAATAAACAATAATGAATCTTTTGCACATAAGAGAAATGACGCTGTTTACACGATTATGCACATCGTCTGCACGTTGGCGGGCCGTTCAAACCCGTCGAAATTCAAGTTTCCGCTGTCAAAATTTTTATTTATTTTTTTGTGTGTGTTCCAATAAAATACGTTGAATTAAAAACTGCGAAATTTGAGAAGCTACTATACGACATTTAACCCTTCAATATGTCTTCAAAGAGACCATGATGCAGAGAAAGTGGTGCTAGTGCTTCCAAGCATAAGCACAAGTCACTATCTATCCAGGAAAAGGGTGAATTTCCATGGTCCGGCACCGGTCAGGTCCCGAGGTTGCCGGACTAGAGAGGTACAACCTGTAGTAATTAAAAACTTAGGAGTTTTTCCTATCACAGAATTATATAAAATTTGTGAAAATAGGCATATTGAAACCACATACTGTCAGGAATTTTATATTGAAAGTGTAAAAATGGGCAAATTTGGGCATTTTGCCTGAACATCCAGGCTTTAGTGATGTCCCAGATGATTTTTTTTTTTTTTTACTAAATTAAGCAGGTGAAGTGCCCCAACATCACAGCCAGCCTCCAAATGACAGCATTATTCCATCTGGAACTGCACATGACTGACATAAGTGGTTGCCAACTGTTAATTGGTAAAGTAGGACCTGGTTCTGAATATGAGTCCAAGCTTCACTGAAGGACTTTTGGCTAAATTTCCGAGTTTGTCATGGTAAGACTTAAAGTAAAGGTGATGCAAAAAATCTCAATGTTATGTGATGATGATGTAAAAAATTTAATCTAGACCTTCTTGGAAGAAGGGTTGAGGGAAAGAGAACACGTTTTCAGGAGGGGAAAAATAGATTTATCTAATAAAAAATCAGATGAAACAAGAAAATGCTTAATAAGTATGCCTATCTCTAGTATAAGGTACAGTACTTTGTCTTGAGTACCTTTCCTAGTCCAGTATAACATTAAAAACTATATATCAGTATGTATTAGTGGAGTTTTGTTTTATTATTTATGTATTTTGCAATCACTGCACTGTACAGTATACCGGTATTTATTCATAACCATTCTTACTGTCATAAAGAACTACAGGTACACAACCGATTATCCATGAACTGATGGTCCGGCACCTCCTTTAGTCCGGACAAAATTATGAGAGGGCACTTAACTTCCTTCCCTCCCTCCCAGCCAGGGTGAAGCTAGTTTTAGGCTTAAAGTTTTTATCTTATAAATTGTAGCTGACTAGAGTTAGCAGAAAATAAATTCCATTGCTAGAATCCTTGTAAAATAGTGATTAATTTGAGTATAAACATCACATAGTTTGCACAAGAGATATAAATTTTAGTCTAGTACAGTACATTTGTGTACAAGTTTTTTAACTCATATTTTTGGGGAAGATATATGTAACTTTTAAATTTATTTTTATTCATTTACATGCACACACCATCCTAAATATATATTGCGAAAAAATATATAATTATCCTAAGGGTAAACCTGTAATAAGTTAATTACTAAAAATTTTATATCTCGTGCAAACTATGTGATGTTTATACTCAAATTAATCATCATCTTACAAGAATTATACAGCAATGCAAATTATATGTACTGCCAAGTCAATTCAGTGACATTTTATAAGGGAAAAACTAAAACTCTTCTGTTTTGATAACTATGCACTTTATCTGTCAACACGTCAACCACCCCCCCTCCCCTTTCTCACAGCCAGGGTGAAGGCAGTTAAGGCTTAAAGATTTTATTGTATAAAATGTCGCAGACTAGACTTAGCAGAATATAAATTACATTGCTGGAATCCTTGTAATATAGTGATTAATTTGAGTATAAACATAACATAGTTTAATTTAAGTTTCTAGCAGTCCATGATGCTTTAGGACACGGGAGATGTATAATTAGTGGGTCAGAGGTGTATTGTTGAATTATTATTACCTGATCTCAGATGGTCCGGCAAAACGGATAATCTGGCAAGGCTTTGGAACCAAGGGTGACGGAAAACCGGTAGTGTACCTGAACCAATACGAATACAACAATCTCTTCATTAGCTGGAATTTTCAATACCAGGAACTCTCCAAATAGCCAGATTTTATTTTACATATGTGTTTTATTTATTTGCATTCCAAGAAATTCCAAAATACTTTCTCCATTCCAGGCATTGGAATGAAATTCAAAGACATTGCCTTATGTTTCCGATGCAGGGACACATGCTGGGAATGTGGGTGGACATGATCAGAGTGCTTGTGAGCTACAATTGGCCACGACTGCCATGTGACTGCATGGGATGCCAATGATTGACTGATGTATCTCACAGCCTATCTCCTCAAACTCTTGCAGCATGACACTAGTTTATTGTCTGCTGCCTTTGTTCAAGCTTGTTCACTCGCTCACTGCTGTTTTCGCATAAGATCTGTGTTGCGCAGTACTGTACCAGCATATAATCAGCCAAGAATAATGTTAAAGCAATGTTAAAGCAGTGTTAAGACATAAAAAGTGTTTACAGTTACCCTGTATGTATACCTGTACTGTACTGTACATTCAGTAAGTATGAAAGTACCATATGTACAGTACAGTACTGTACATAGCAGAGTGGACAGTGTATAGGTACTGTGCGTACTGTGCGTAGTGCATACAGGTTTATGTACAGTATTCAGTGCATGTATAATCCCTCCTTTATGGAGGGAAATGAGAGTGAGAGTTGGCAAGACATACTACAGGACAAAGGCAGGCCATCCTGTATCATCATATCACCATTTGGCTTGCTTGCACCATAAGCTCATGAGACAGCATCTGCTGGTGAGTGCAGCATAGTGTATACAGTATGTATATTTTGTTTATTTACAATATAGAGGGCATGCACAGTGGCATTTGCATAAAGAAATACAGCTCTGTATCTGTCCATGCGAGATGCATAGTTTAGACTCTTGGATAACTGTCCCAAGCACACGGAAAAATTCTTGGGATGAGAAAAATTTCTCCATCCCCAGAAATCTCTCAATTCAGAACTGCTCTGCATCAATTATTCTGGCTAATGAATATGGAATTGGTATTTAAATCATTGAGGTAAGAAACCAAGCTGACCTCATTGATAAGATCATCTCAAAAAATAAAAAAATTTACATTAGTTTATTTTACATTCATGTATGAATATATTATGAAACATTAAAATACAACTACATAAACTAACATTGGTAACCCCAAAGCTACCTAAGACAAGTCTGTGCACCGTTACTGTTTTTGTTTTTTCATTACTGCAAAAGTTTTTCTCTAATTACTTACAGTTTCATAGATAATGTTATCATAAAAGACTACAAATAGCTAAGAAAAAATACATGTACTATACTCAAGTAAACTGATGAAAACAATTATTATTTAAACTTACGCATCATTTGCGAAGTCCTTGTGTCCCATCATGACTTCCCACACAGATCGGCCACCACAGAAGAGATTTTGCTTTGTTGGAGCCACAGGATTATGAGGGTGGTCACTATCTGGCCCACTACAGAAATTGACAACCTGTATATCAATGTATAATGAAAGTTGAATGAAAAGAAAATTATTATGTTTTCTTACAAGTTTCATGCAAAAATTAATTGACTATGGAAGAGTTACTATACTGTACAGTAATAAGTTAACCTAAGAACTGTCATATTTTCTGTATGGTTATCATTTTGTCATCAGAGGTAAAAATTGTGCAACTGATTTGTTGTTATTATGTGGACGGAGAATCTAGTGACTTGATGGTTCCCCCACATTGTGCATCTGCTTGTAGTATTTTGACAAAGTTTTGCCTTCTTTTTTATTTGTCATTGGGTGGCACACAGTAATTCCTAACTTCATACTCTCAATCTGGGTAAGGTTGGTATTGTAGACACATTCCAATTTTTGTGAAGGTAATGACAGTTATCATCGAATATAAAAAAAATAGAAACCATTTTTTTTTAAAGTTGCTGTGAACTGTTAGAGTATTTGATTTTTATATACAATAGTTTTACATACCTTTATTTATCACTTTATTATACTGTACACTTTTTCACTTGCCATAAAAAATATTTGCTTGCAGCCTCGCGCCCTAGAATACGTTAATTTTTTAAATATATAAACATATATATTAAACCCAATACAGTACATTATTTACATACACTATACAGGGTTATTTGGGTAAAAAATAATTGGTGTTTCTTATTTAATGAGAACTGATTTTATACTCTGGTATAAACATTTCTTAAATTTTTTCCTAAAAGAAGTGAGTCCCCATCATCATACCATGTCAAAATATTTTGTTAAAGGATCATTTATTGAATCATTCTTGAAAAGAATTTATTCAGGGTCATTAATTGTACCAAATTCATCTCTCGAACACAATTAGAACAGATGCTGTGAAAAATTTTTTATGCAGTAATACCCGAATTTACGCAGTCAATTGAACTCGCGGAGGCCAGCGTAAAACAGGAAACGCATACAGTGGTCCCTCGGTTAACGAGCACAATCCGTTCCAGCAGGTTGCTCGTTAACCGAAAAACTCGTTAACCGAAACCATTGTTTCAATGGGTTTTTGGGTAATTGGTTCCAGCTCACCGGCAATTGCCTAAATTCAACAAAAAAGGTAGAAAAGTACACTTACTTTAAGGTGTGCATGTAGAAGGCTCCTGGATGATGATGATGATGATGATGATGGGAATTAGAATGGGGGAGGAGGAGAAGGGAGAAGAGAAGGCATTGGGGTGGAAGAGAAGTTACCCCATGGCATCATTTCACACAACAAAAAATTTTAGTTCTCTTGGTGTAATTCAAGATTATTTTCTTTAAATCAACACTGCACTGCATTATATATTGTCAATATGTAAAATAAATTTCAAAATGACCAATAATTTGCTTGCAAACACAGAAAAAATGCATTTAGTTGAAGAGAGTCTCAAGCAAGATGTTACCTCCACTGAAAAGAGAGAGAGACTAATGCCTGTTTGGTGTGTTAACAGGCTGGATGGCGCCAGAAACTAGTTTCTTTACCTTCACTTATGTTCAATAATTGTTAAAATGACTAAAAAAGTTAATATTAAACATTTAAAATTATTGAATAGTATAAACTTCTTGATATTTACTGAAATAGTAAGAAATTTAAGCCCTAAAACCGATTATACTGTATTGGCGGACAAATACTACAGCTGGTGGACCGCCAAATGCAAGCGAAAACATGTTGAGGTCGGCTCGTAAAAAATTCGTTAATCAAGGAATTGCTCGTTAACCGAAGTTAAGAATCTTATGGAAGGTAAATCGTTAACCGAAATCTCATTAACCGAGGCGCTCGTTAACCGAGCGATCACTGTAAATGGAACAACAGAACATATGGGATTAATTGAAATAGAGACTGGGCCGACCCCCAAACCCCAACTTTTCAGACACAAATACCTACGTTGTAGTAAAAATAATATCTTAATTTTATGATGGTATGCACACACAATTAATAATTAAAAGAAATATCAATAATATTAGGGTTTTTAACACTTACATTAGTAGAAAAGATGGCTGGGCACACGGGGATGGGGGGTTGGTTCTGAGGCAGAGGGCAGATTATTGGCCCTCACCTGTATCACTTGTATCAATTGTATCACTACAGTATCCACCATAGAGGCTTGCAGGGCCTCTTTGTCAAACCCTTCAAAGTCCATATCCTCACTATCACTATCACTATCACTGACTTGGGCCGGCTGTGGTGGGTGGTGGGTGAAGAACTCGGTAATGTTTTGATGACTGGGCGACCTTTTGCGCACCCTGCCCGCGCCGCTTCCCGCGTATATGAGTAGATGCATCACGTAAAGTGGGAATTCCGGTTCTGGCGGGGTACTGCGTAAATGTGGAAACACGTAAACGGGAACCGCGTAAATCGGGGTATTACTGTACACTTTTTCACAAGCAATACTTTTACTTTTATCCTCTTCACCACTGATCGGCTCGTTAGCCGCTTGGGCGATCGGTCATGTCTCTGTTACTTTTCCTTTTCTTTTATCCTCGTCACCAAATGATCGGCTCGTTAGCCGCTTGGGCGATCGATCAAGTCTCTGTTACGCACTGTTGGCAAGTGCTGGGCATGCAGCGGCTCCTGAATGTACCTGAACCTGCTCCAGTATTGGTCAAGTCTTGTCTTGAAAGAGCTCACACTCGGTGCCGACACAACACTTTCTGGTAGATTGTTCCAAGAGTTCACAACTCTCACTCCGAAAAAGTTTACCCTCACAGTTTTCTGGACTTGCGTCTTCTTCAATCTTGAGCTGTGACCCCTTGTGGGGCGAGCGTTCGCCAGCTCCAAGTAAGGACACTTGACTGAGTAATGCCCCTTGAGATGCTTATACACCTCAATTTGGTCACCCCTTGCCTGTCTGCAGTATAAGCTAGGCAAGTTCAGGCACTCCAATCTCTCAGGGTAGCTGAGGTGCCGAAGTGCAGGCACCAGTCTGGTGGCCCTCCTTTGAACATTTTCAACCAATTGGCAGTCCCTAGCATACCTCGGGGATTATTATTATTATTGCATCCTCCCCGGCCCTGATATGGGTTAGTGACCTGTGCCCAGGTGGGCTAATCCCCGTAAAAAAAAAAAAAAAAAAAAAATCTTTTCACATTTACATCTACTAACATTGCTGGCAGCATTGTAGCTACATTAGACTCGTCTCTGTAACCAGGCTACTGGGCCAAGCTGTTGTTTTTCAACTCGTATTTTCTGGTAGATATACGTAACTTTCTTCATTTATTTTTACTGATATACATGCAGACACCATCCTACATACATATTGTGAAAAAATGAAAAGAAATAATTGTCCAAAGGGCAAACACAAAAGGAATGGTGGATGGTGGGGGGGGGGTGTTGCTAGGGAATCAGCAGAGGTAGTGTTGCTATGGTAAACAGGGAGTACTGATGTACAGTACAGTGGTCCCTCGGTTAACGAACACAATTCGTTCCACAGAGTCGTTCGTTAACTGAAAATTTTGTTAACCGAATCCATTATTTCAATGGGATATTGGGTAATTGGTTCCAGCTCACAGAAAAGTACATATAAAGTATAAACAAAATGCATTACAGTACAATAAAGTACACTTACTTCGAGGTGTGTATGTAGAATGTTGCTAGTTGATGATGATGATGATGGGAATTAGAAGTGGGGGTGGAGGAGAAGGGAGAAGAGAAGGAAGTGAGATTGGAGGAGAAATCGCCTTTCTTTGGACCCATGCTTGATGCAGTAATTTCACCAATAACATTTTAAGTTCACTAACTGTAATTACAGATTATTTTATTTAAATCAACACTGCACTGCACTATATGTTATCAATATGTTAACTAAATTTCAGAATGACCAATAATTTTAATGTAAAAATGTAAAAATACTCTGTATTTAAGAGAGTGACAAACACAATGTTTCTTCCACTGTAAACAAAGTTAAACTGACGCCTTGGCAGGTGAGTCAAGCGGCTGATGGGCGCACAAAAAATTAGTGCCCTGTACTGCATATATTATCAATATGTTAACTAAATTTTAAAATGAATAATAATTTTAATATAAAAAAATGCAAAATATTAAAGAACACAATCTTCTTGATATTTACTCCACTGGAAAGGAATGTAAACAGAGAACCGATTACTGTATTGGCAGACTAGCCGATCAGCTGATCAGCTGATGTTCACAACAAAACATGTTTGTCATACGGATTTCATTAATCGAAGTTTTGTTCGTTAACCGAATTGAAGATCGTTATGGAAGCTAATTCGTTAACTGAAATTTTGTTAATTGATCCGTTCGTTAACCGAGGGACCACTACAGTATATGCAAATGGCAACTGTGTTAAACTTTCATTTGGCTTTTATTTACTGGTTTGGCAATAGAGTATTATTTGTTGTTAGCATATTTATTGGTATTATTTTTATTTATTCCTCACATTTACTGGTACTGTACTGTATATATTGTTTTAAGAAAACTATGGATACAGGAGGAAAATGAATACAAATTTTTTTCCTAAATATTTCCTGCTGAAATGGGGGTTGGATCTTATATGGCCGTGAGTCTTATATGCCATAAAATACAGTAATTCAGGGAAGACAGTTTCCATCACCTAGAAAAATAATGAGTCGTGTAACTGTAATTAATAATAATAATAACAGTTGCCCTTTGTGTACGAGGAGGGCCGGCCCAAGGGCCACCTAGGCATGAATTTGTTTAAGATGTAGAATCTAAGCTAAGCTGATGAGTTGCATGACTGAATGTCAAGGAATAGTCTGAGAAGACCAGACAACTCGCCAACTGCACTGGCTAACTATTACCTCGGAACATGATCTGCAAATCAATTTACTTCCAGGTTCCCAACTACTGCTGGGTAGACAGAGGCAAATGGTGTAAAGAAACTTGCCCATAGTTTCACCTTGCCCAGGAATTGAACCAGGGACCACTTGCTTGCGAGGCGAACATGCTGACCATTACACCACAGGAAGCTAAATAAATTGTAATAACCACCCACAGCATTGCCAAGTGTCGGTTGACACTGCAACATTTTGAAAATAATCGCACAAGACAGTATGCTGCTTTGAGACATTATTCCTAGATACAGTATCTAAATTTGGATGCTAAATTACCTACACACTACAGTACATGTATATAAATCATTATCAATGAATAATCGGGTGTTATTGCACAATACTGTACAGGGGTATTAGCTTTTAGCTTTTATCCTCTTCACCACTGATCGGCTCGTTAGCCGCTTGGGTGATCGGCCATGTCTCTGTTATGCACTGTTGGCAAGTACTGGGCATGCACCGGCTCCTGAATGTATCTGAACCTGCTCCAGTGTTGGTCAAGTCTGGTCTTGAAAGAGCTCAACACTTTCTGGCAGATTGGGTATGGTGGACTGGGCTTGACTGTATTGTTACTGGGTGACTGCTAGTGGTGCCACCATTGTGGAGGGAACAAAAATTTAACATGGAATGAACGATCCTTCTTGAGCATAGATTCCTTGATAACACCCTTCTCACATCTTTCCTGGGCCAGGGATTGAACACAAGACACAATAATGAGGCATATGCATTATCACTGTACCCTCAACTTGTAAAAAGACTGTACAGGTTGAACCTCTCAATCCGCCATCCTCGGGACCAAACCAGAGAATTTTCCGAACCACAAGTGGTCAATATATTAAGATACCAAAACGCCTATGTAAGCCATCGTAACTTACAGTAATTTATTAGTTGTTACACAAATTTAAGGTATAGGCAACAGGAAATACATACAGGAAGCAATTTTTTTTTAAATATGACAAGAAAAACTCATGCTGGACCATAGGTTGTGTTGGACCATATATTTCTGGGTGATATATTTTCTTTATTTTGTGATATACAAAGTAAAATAATCATTCACACTGAGTTTGTTTGAGTGTTTAGAAGCAAAATTTGACATGGCTTAATGGTAGGCCGAGGACCCAAGAAACTGAAAAATCCTCAAAACAGGTTCAGTCTTGGTTCCAATGGTCCTAGATCTGAGGCTCTATACTGCACCTGAACTATGATGTACTGTATTCTATTTAAAAACTTTTAGACTTGTTGAAAGCTAACCAATAACTTGACAAAATACCAAATTAACTGTAAAAAACATAAAATAATAATTAGAATAGCAGATATATCTAATGAATCTCCAGTGATTCTAATTTCATGTAACAATTAATTTATGCCAATCAAAATTATTAAACAGGTTGAAGAATTGTCCGAGAGTCAATAAGATCATTCTTAAGATTTCAGAAAGGGATATTATGGATTGCGAAAAAAAAAAATTCAAGACTCTCATTGCATGTAATTTTTAGATGAAAAGGTTTCACTAAGCCTTGCCAAAAATCTTTGATGGTTTAGCCAATGCAAATGTCTTTGTAACTGAAATTTTATACAGTGTATTAAAATGTCCCCCACCGTGTCACTGAAGATGAGTGGATAAGACATAAGTGAAGAGGTTGCAAGCTGATCTTTGTACGGCAGAAAACGGCAGTTCTCATCAGGTTCTCCTTGAGGTGTTAATGCACACGTACTCCTACCCGTCTTGTCTCTGTAAATAATAGCTATAGTTCATGTAATGGTGTCACACAAGTTTAAAAATTGTAAAATATTTTTCTAAGCTATTTCATATAAAATTTTAATTATATCTGCTACATTTCCTTTGTATAGTGATGTCCCTAATTAATACAGTACAGGTACTCCCCAACTTACGACGGGGTTAGGGACCGATATCCAGGTCGTAAGTCGAAATGGTCGTAAGTCGAAATTTGTCGTAAGTCGGAAATGCTTAAATAACACATAGAAAATCGAAATTGGGGGTCTCTTTTTCTTTTCAGCACCACAAAACTCTCACTTTTAAGCTTGCCAGCCATTTTAAAGCGAATTTCAGATGAAAATTTTGTCTGTGTAGTGACTTGAGACTAAAAAATACGTAATTTGACCAAATTTTGGTACGACTGATGCAGGTCGTAAGTGCGGGTGGACGTAAGTCGAGTAGGTCGTTAGTCGGGGAGTACCTGTACTTGACAATTTCGTTCCTTCAGGCCTGGTGACTAATAACTATAACTTTAGTATCATAATTGACAGCTCCACGAAATATTTCACATTTTGTCATTCTAAAAAAGAACAGATGGTGGTACAGCATTGCACACATGCCTCTAAATACTATGTCCTAGGTTCAATCCCTGGACCAGGTCATATATGAAAAGAAAGTTACCCCACCAAACGTCAAAGGTTTCTCCAGGACCCCGGTTTCCTCCAGTACTAACAATGGACAATGCAAGTCGTAACAAAGAACAAAACAACTGCCTGAAAGGATTGTAAGCTAATACGTGGTAAAAATGATAAGTTAAATTAAGTTAATTAAAAATTGGTACAACATGTAATTATGGGAGATGCTACATTGATTAGCAGTATCATAATTGCACTTTTCTTAATACTAATTGAATATGGCACAATAAATAGCCTTGCATGTTTTTGTTTCAATATTTGGCCTGGATCCTACCCTTCTGAAGCCTTAAGTATGTCTCTACAAACAATAAGAAAAAGAAGCTACTTTGCTTACATAAGACGTCCTTCCACTGGTACATTGGCACAGCAGGTGGGAAGAAGAACCCCAGTACCTGGAAATCTTCCATTGCTTTGCTCCCAGATATAGAAGAGCGGGAAACTCTCATCACCTGGATAACCCAGTTCATCAAACACACCCCATCTCAACTTAGCCCACTCAAGCAGTAGTACTTTCCCTGCAACAGACATTTTATGAACACTAAATTTTCTAGGAAACTTTGCAATTTAAATACTGTACTGTATTTCACTAAAGTATGTATATGGATACAGTATTATATGGACATTTGTGAACTCACCTCGCGGTCCCCACCAGGCAGATTGCTGTCGATCTGTGAGGTACTCTGCAGTGAGATGAATATACAAACCAGGGTCACCACAACCGCCAGTTTGCTGTGTATATGGCTGGTTTTTATACACACTGTTCATGATGTCCACTCTAACCTCACTGTCCTGTAAATTATTTCTGTATTATCTTCCAGCATTGATCATAAACCTTGTAAGATATATGCATATTGTAGTTATATCAGTGTATCGTCCAACAGCATACATGTACAAAATTTCATAAAAATGAGTCATGATATGTCTATCTATCTTATATAAACATAATCATGTAAGAAGGCAATGTCACACTTAAGGAGACATTAGAAATTGTATTAAAAGGAAAATATGATTTACTTGAGGCTATAAGTTATTTGTCAGTATTGTACAGGTATAAACAATTGAAAATTAATTTTACCCTGTATTTTCAAATCATTCATGAATAAATAGTTCACAAGACAATAACTTACTTGGAAACTTTCGCTCAATGCATTACCAATGACACTAGTATTGGTCCAAGATTTGGGGATGAGGATTTTTACTGACCGGAAATATGCTCGTTTATGTGTGGCTCTATATAACCTTCTTGATGCCTCTTGGATCATTTCCTGGGGATAAAAATTTTTAAGACTACCTATAACCTTGATATACAATTATTGCATATTTCATTACATAAATTAGTGCCATTTTTCGTTATCCACCCATCACCTTTTTTTACATAAAAAATATATATATATTTTTTTTTTGCTAGTTTTCTTGCTGTTTTAGATGATTCTGACATTTATCTTTGGGGAAAATTTTTTTTAGTTATGTTGGCGCTACCTGACAACCCCTGGTAGCGGAGAGTCTGCGGCGCCAGTTGCGCCTGTCAGGCCTGTAACACGGATCTCTACATTAAAGTTCTCGGCCACTACACGGAGTTTCTCCTTTCCTTCAATAAAACACCTAACATGGCGCAGTGAGTTTAGGTGTGAACCTGAACCTCAAGATGCCGCTCTAATGCCGTCCAGAGTTCTCAACATCCTCCAGGACCCACTGTGGCCACCCTTCTTCGGCGACACCGGCGATTCTGGCTCAAGCCCAGTCAGTGCTGATGTCACAACAGCAAGCCATTGTCTCGCTGCAGGCAAGTTTGGCGTCAATATCAGCCCCATGCCAGTCATCTCAGCCACAGTCTCTATGGCCTCTGCGCCTGAGAAATGTGACCTGGAGTTGTTTTCAGCGGCCTTCCAGTCCTAGAGGCGCTCAACTGAGTGCTGGTTGCAGCTCAACAAGCGGCCAGATGCTGACGTCGTCCTGCATATCCGCCTCCTGTGTGTTCCTGCTCTCCAGCGTGCCTTATATGTGAGGTTCGCAACAACTCAGTGGGGGGGCCATAGCCCCTGTGGAGGCTTTGGATGCCATCAGCTAGTTTGTGCTTCGTGCTTCAAATCAGGCAGTGCATTGGTCTGATTTCTTTAGTGATATTCAGGTTCCTAATGAGCCCATCAGTGCATATTTCTTGCAATGCTCCCAGCAAGCCATGGACTGTGAATTTCAGTGCCCCGAGTGTGACAGAAATACAGTGACCCCTCGTTTAACGAACACCTCGGTAAACGTAATTTCGATTAACGAACTGCCTTCCATAAGGATCTTCAATTCGGTTAACGAAAAAAAATTCGGTTAACGAAGTTCTTACGAACCGACCTCAACATGTTTTCGCTTGCACTGACCGGGCAATCAGCTTTAGTATCAGTCCACCAATACATTAATCGGTTCTAGGGCTTAAATTCCTTACTATTTTAGTAAATATCAAGAAGTTTATACTATTCAATAATTTTAAAAGTTTAATATTCAATTTTTTAGTCATTTTAACAATTAGTGAACATAATTGAAGGTAAAGTGACTAGTTTAATGTGCGGCATCCAGCCTCTTAACACAGCAAACAGGAGTTAGTCTCTCTCTGTTTTCACTGGAGGTAACATCTTGCTTGAGACTCTCTTCAACTAAACGCTTTTTTTCTGTGTTTCCAAGCAAATTATTGGTCATTTTGAAATATATTTTACATATTGACAATATATAATGCAGTGCAGTGTTGATTTAAAGAAAATAATCTTGAAATACACCAAGAAAGCTAAAATTTTATGGGTGAAATGGCGCCATGGGGTGACTTCTCTTCCACCCCAATGCCTTCTCTTCTTCCTTCTCCTCCACCCCCATTCTAAATCCCATCATCATCATCATCATCATCCAGGAGCCTTCTACATACACATCTCAAAGTAAGTGAACTTTTCTACCATTTTTGTTGAATTTATGAAATTTTCGGTGAGCTGGAACCAATTACCCAAAAACCCATTGAAACAATGGTTTCGGTTAACGAACTTTTCGGTTAACGAACGACCTTCTGGAACGGATTGAGTTCGTTAACGGAGGGGTCACTGTATTTCAGACTACATGCTATTGCATAAGTTGATAGCTGTTTCAGAACTGTAATACCTTTCAGTGATGTTGACAGCCTCCGTGCCTATTGTACCACATTCGAGGCTGCACAACATGACGTCGCTTTTGGCCACTGAGGATGACGTCACACCCAAGGACACCATAGTGGTAGCCGCCTCCAGCTCAGCTGTTCTCCCGGCTTACCCCCCCCCTCCCCCCCCGACTTTGTGGTAATTGTGGGGACCACCATGCCCCTGACAGGGCATCCTGCCCGGCCAAGATGGCCAAATCGGCCATCTGTCATGGCTGTGGGAAACTGGGCCACCTGAAGAAACTCTGCAGGAGTGCTAAGAAGCAGTATGGAGGCCAGATAGCCACAGACGCAGTTACTGGTGCGGTGGTGGCTGATGCCCACCTGTCTCAACAGCCGCTGTTACTCGTTGATGTGGCCCGCCCTGCTAGTCATATTCTCCCCCAGTTATGGCCATCGCAGACACCAGCGCCTAGGTGTGTGTGGCCAGTCCCACCCTAATGTCATCGCTGGGTCTCCGGCCTGCACTGTTACAGCGTCGGGCTGGCTTATGTGACCTTGCAAACATCCCGCTTCGTCAAGTCTGTCAAGCACCTGTACCTATCACTCACCGCCTGTAAGGACTTTGGCTAGGTGCATATGGACATACCGCTTCCACCCCCTTCCGTTGCTGCTACGGGGGTGGTGGATGGAGGTGACACCAGCCTCCCGCCCAGGCCACCTGTCATGCCGCTCCACCCACTAGAAGAAAACTCCTCAAGGCTGGAGGAGCGGCTCCTCCGCCACTTCTCGTCTACCACCTTCAACACCGATAGGTATCCCCTCCCTGTGATGGCAGGTGCCCCGCATCACATCCACCTGATACCTGGTGCCAAACCCCATGCCTGTCACACCCCCACTTCGGTCCCCAAGCACTGGGAGACGGAAGTCAAACAGCAGCTCAGTGATGATGTCAGGAGAGGGGTGATCTGCCCGGTCCTTGTAGGGGAAGCCATGGAATGGTGCGCTCGGATGGTGGTGGTTTCCAAAAAGTCAGGCAGACCTCACATTAAAGTTCTCGGCCGCTACACGGTGTTTCTCCTTCCCTTCAAGAAAATACCAAACAGTTAGGTTAGGTAAGGTTTGGTTTTATTGCTGTTTTAGATGACTTTGACATTTATAATCATCTAAAACAGCAAGAAAACCTAACCTACCTAAAAAAAAATAGTGATTTGCCCCAAAGATAAATGTCAGAATCATCTAAAACAGTACAAAAACTAGCGAAAGAATATATTTTTCATTTGCTAAAAGGTGATGGGTGGATAACGAAAAATGACCGTAAGTAGAAGGCAGCTATCAAACAGGGAGGTACTACCGCCTGGGAAGATATTGGAAGCATAATGTGTTGTCTTATGGTAGACCCTGCTGCTATATGGCATCACGAAAATTGCGACCAAGTCCCAGTTTGATGGTCTGACTTTCTGCCTCATTCACAAACAATTGTAGGGTCTCAATTGTTTCTCTTACTATTGACAACACAACATACATACAGGAATGTATATCGTTTCTCACTTTTTTTTTTCATTTTCAGAGTTGCCAAGCCATGTTCGGCTAACTTTGAGTCTGACTGGCAAATTTTGGTTGAGGCAGGCTGATTTTTTTTGCAGCTGTTTTCTACTCTAGTTGGTTTTTAGGGAGCTGGTTATTTCAGGTCAAACCATCATGATGTCAAGATCACAGAGGAACTATTTATATACGTATATGTAGTGTCAAGTCATTATGGTCTACTGCCATAGAAATTATTGACAGCAATAATTGTGATTACAAAATCTACTGTGTGCAGTGGCAGTATCGTAACTAATAAGGTTTATCCAAGGTGAGTTATTACATAAAGCTCAACTATTTGCTGATATTATTGGGAACAGTTTATCTAACAAACAACCCTACCCATATTCTTAGGAGGTAGGGTAGTCCATTCCCACCTTCTAATGGTGTGCACCATTAGTACATTTTTTCTGTTAAGTGGAATCAATGATCGACTCGTTAGCCGCTTGGGCGATCGGTCACTTCTTTGTTACGCCACTGTTGGCAAGTACTGGGCATGCAGCGGCTCCTGAATGTACCTGAACCTGCTCCAGTGTTGGTCAAGTCTTGTCTTGAAAGAGCTCACACTCGGTGCCGTCACAACACTCTCTGGTAGATTGTTCCAAGAGTTCACAACTCTCACTCCGAAAAAGTTTGCCCTCACAGTTTTCTGGACTTGCGGCTTCTTCAATCTTGAGCTGTGACCCCTTGTGGGGCGAGCATCCACCAGCTCCAAGTGAGGACAATCGACTGAGTAGTGCCCCTTGAGATGCTTATGCACCTCAATTAGGTCTCCCCTTGCCCGTCTGTAGTATAAGCTAGGCAAGTTCAGGCACTCCAATCTCTCAGGGTAGCTGAGGTGCCGAAGTGCAGGCACCAGTCTGGTGGCCCTCCTTTGAACATTTTAAACCAACTGACAGTCCCTAGCATATCTCGGGGACCAGGCGGGGTGACAGTACTCCAGATGAGGAAGCACTTCACTCTTGAAGATCATTACGAGGGACGGACCGTCTTGGTATCTGAACGAGCTTCTTATAAGACCCAATAATTTATTTGCCTGATTTACCTTCTTCTCGCAATGGCCCGAGAACTTCAGCTCATTGTCAACAAACATTTGTATGGAGGAGTGTACAACGTCAGGCATGTCATTTATTAAATAAAAAAACAACAGCGGGCCCAATACACTGCCTTGTGGTACCCCGCTTGTGACAGGTACGGATGATGATTTCATGCCATTAATCACCACACACTGCTTGCGGTCATGTAGAAAGTCTTCTATCCATACTAGGACATTTCTCCGAATTCCGTACCCTTCCAGTTTGATTTTCAGCCTTTCGTGGGGTACACTGTCGAAAGCCTTGACAAAATCTAGGTAAATCTTGTCGATATTACCACCCCGTTCCAGAATATGGGTCCAAATATCCAATACCGTGAGCAATTGTGTTAAGCAGGAGCGCCCCGGCATAAAACCGTGTTGGCAATCCTTTGCAAGGTTGTTTCGTAGTAGATGTTCCATTCCGGCATCTCTGATAATACTCTCAAGTACTTTACATATTATGCTGGTCAGGCTCACCAGTCTATAGTTGTTCGTGGAGTGACGATCGCCCTTCTTGAAGATAGGACTCACATAAGCCACTTTCCATTCACTGGGGACCTTTTGTTCATCCAGGCATTTACAAAACAGGATCTTCAGGGCTCGGCAAGCTCGTTGCACAACTCTCTTAGCACTCTAGGATGCACCATGTCAGGGCCTGGACTCTTATGGACCTTTAGCTTTGACAATTTATTTCTAATACCCTCTTCTGTGAATACAATGTGGGTCAGTGCTATGTCGAACCGTCTGTCCTCAAATGTAGGAAGGTTAATCGCATCCTCTCTTGTGAACACCGAGGAAAAGAAGCTGTTCAGTGCCTCAGCTTTATCCTGGTCAGAATCTGCGTAACTACCATCTTCAAACCTCAGGTCTGATACTCCTACTCGCGTTTTCAATTTCGACTTTGCATAGCGGTAAAACGCCTTTGGGTTTGACTTGACCTCTCTTGCAACCAGCCTCTGGAACTCCTTTTCAGACCTTCTACACTCTATCTTTGCTTGGTTTCTGGCTCTTGCATACATCCTTCTGTCCTGCTCATCGTTTGACCCAACCCACGTCTTGAATTTCTGGGTTTTCTTCTTAACTTTGTCGACCGCTGCATGGTTCATGTGTAAGGATCCCCTCGTATTGCTAGAGGTACTGGGTTTGGTCTTGGGTATATATTTATCGATCAAATGGGTCACTTTACTAGTTATGATATTCAGCGTAGTGTCTGCGTTCTTGTGCCTTAATGAGTCAGGCCAGTTGATACCCCTTTAGCTTTGACAGTTTATTTCTAATACCCTCCTCTGTGAACACAATGTGGGTCCGTGCTGTGTCTAGTTTGGCAACCAGCAGGGCTCCAGTTTCATCCATTTTCGTCCCTAGGGAACTCGTTCCCTTATGGCTTGCAATCGCCTCTTTCACCTTGACTATGCAGTCAGGGCAATACCAGCAACAGCCTTCATGCTTTACGGCAGTTAGCATCTTCCTAAACTTTGCATTGGTCAGGCCTGTATCATCCATCTCCGTCATCCCCCGCAGTAGTCACATATCATACCCCTCATGGTTGTTGTTGTTGTTGTTGTGGTGGGGGTGCAGACTGTGTATAGATATACACCTATTTTAAAAAATATATATATATATATAAATAAAGAAAAAAACCAGAACGTACTTAGCTCCCCTCTGCTGGATTTAACCTCCCCTGTTGCCTTTAGGGATGTCTTCTGTTTTTTCTTCTCTTCTTTTTATTTATTTTTATTTATTTTTTTTCAGTTCACTTTGGCAGTTTGTCAGTATTTATGTGCTATCTCTATCTACACTGCATTTTGCTATGAATAACTGATTTTATACACCCACAGGTCCTTTAGAAACACAGAAAAATAAAATAAACTTTCTTTGGGGCGGTAATAGAATGTCTTTACGGATAGCCAAGTTTGTTGATTTTATTTATTTTTTTATTTTAACTAGTATTTCCTTATACAGTACTTTCTTTTCCTGTTCTCATCGACGACTATATCTCTTTGTGCTATCACTGTGTACACTGTATCTCCCTGTGAATGGTGTATTGTAGGCACAGTTTCAGTCCTTGAGAAAGCACACAAACAAAATAAAATTTAAAGTCTCTGTGGCACCTATAACACGACTTGGTTTCAGCTGGCAGTGGTGCCTTTCCACCTTGCTTGCCAATTTATATTCACTTTATGTTATTTACAACCTCTTCTGCGGTCACTGATGACACTTTGAACTGATTTAACTAAAGGCACAGTATTACACTCTCTGGTTGGCCTTTATCACAGCCATATGGCAATGATTTTGTGGTTGTATGCCTTCTGACCTGGGCTGTACCCCTAACTCGGTGGAAATTGAGTTTTAAAAAATACAATCGCATCTAGCATTAAAAATCCTACATCGATTTACACTTTCACATCACTAAGATGGTCTTGATGATCTTATGTAACCCCTGTCCAATTTCTGCCTCTCAACAACGAAGGCCCGAGTGCCGAACACGGTTTGTTACAGAGACGCAACACGACCAGACCAAACCCCAGATGAGGAGGATTACAACTTCATGACCAAGAGGAGACTCGGCTACCAATTGTTCTTTGCAGTTTCCAAAGACAAGGTGAATGACTTCCTGAGCATGGCAAAATAAAATTTGGAAGCTAAAATAGCTCAGAAGGTAGTATCACTCATGACAAGTGCTCTAGAGAATTTTGAGTTGGGTGTGGCTGAGAGGCTTCAGGAGTGGTCTCTCACAAGTCTCCTCAATCATTTGCGAACATTGTTAAAGCGGAACTGAAGGAGTTTAAAAATATCAGGGTGGTACTAAAGGTGTATTAAGATCAATGATTTGGGCAGGGATAGAACAGTCCACCCCCACCATGTACTCATACTGAAGCCAAAGGAGGGCACTGTTGTTGCTGCTGCTACAAGTGCCAAGAGGAGCATTGATGCCTATTCCTCTTGATAGCTGCAGGGAGTTAAGAATTGGCTCGGACTTCATGGTGTCCAAACCTAGAAAAATCATACCGAAAAGGACAATTGTAGGTAAGTATTCCTACTACACTTCCTGTTAAATAAAGGCTGCAAGTTATCCAATGTTTTCACATAAATAAAAGGAGAGAGTAAACATGCAGTCATGAAGATGTCATCTGAAGTACAAAATTCCATTGAGAAGTTTCAGGGATACATTTATGTTGGATTGAACAGATGCAAAGCTTATGACAGGTTATTGGTCACTCAATGCTACCACTACCAAAAATTTGACACCTTGCATCAGGCTGTCCCAGGAAGCCTGGTTCTCCAGTTTGTGCCCTATGATGACTTCCTAACGTAAAAATAATTGAGAACACCGACTTTACTTGTTAAAATAAACTTGCAGCCCCCTCTTGAGCTTATTAAAAATTGGTCAGCTTAATATCTGCACAATCTGAAACAAAATGTGTCGTGTTGATGAGTTTTTGTGGGACTTCAGCTTGGGTATCCTCTGCAAAATTGAAATGTGGTTGTATGGATCAGGCTTCAACATTATTCATTGTGCTTTTCCCAAGACACATTCTCTTGTTCATGTTCCCAGACCTGCTGCAGGAGCTCCGGCTGATTTATTTTGTGGCCCTGCTCAACATTAGACTGATTAGTAGTGACTGTTTTTTCCTCCTTTGAATTTACGGAGGCATTAATGAATCTTCATCGCCAAGTTATTAGAATTGCTGTTGTTTATCTCCGGGTCACCCAAGTACAGATAGGAAGTTCATGGATGAATTTGACTTGTTTCTTGGGGCTTTCTGAGGAAAGAACGGGCAGCGGTTGATCTGTGGTGACTTTAATTATTGGGTTAACAACCTATCTCTGAAACCTTTTTTTCCGAGTTCTTGGAAATTCTTAATCTAAACAATTTTGTCAATCATGGGTCATATCCAACACGTCATTTTGAACACATTCTAGACCTATTTTTTCTCCTGCTGGCGGTGATCATGTATTAGACGTTGCAGGTGACCTGATTGATCCAGCATTCTCTGACCATGCTTTGGTTACTTTTGGATTTAATGTCCCAAGACCCGTTTCTTACAGTAAAACAATTACCGACAGGAACTACTGTATAAAAGTGTTGACCAGCAAGGGCTGCTCCATGAGGGGTCCTGGGGGTTCGGACCCCCCCCCCCCTTTTCATCAAAATTTGTATACTTTTTCTTTAATGCAGTATTGTACAGTACTCAGCCATTTTTGTATAGTAAAAAGTAATTACTATTGACTTCAGAATATCTCCTAATATCAAGTGCACATGGCTTCTAAATGGCCTCAAAATGCCTCTGATATTGGGGCTCAGTTTGTTCCCCCAACCACAACTTCTTGGAACCTCCCTTTGATATTACTGGATCCGCCCCTGTTAAGCACCCTAATGCTACCGGTGAACGGAAATAAAGTTACAGGAAAAAAAGTCACTTGACTTGTACACAATTGACAACACTTTTATCCTCTTCACCACTGATTGGCTCGTTAGCCGCTTGGGCGATCGGTCACGTCTCTGTTATGCACTGTTGGCAAGTACTGGGCGTGCACCGGCTCCTGAATGTACCTGAACCTGCTCCAGTGTTGGTCAAGTCTGGTCTTGAAAGAGCTCACACACGGTGCCGTCACAACACTTTCTCGTAGATTGTTGCAAGAGTTCACAACTCTCACTCCGAAAAAGTTTGCCCCTCACACTTTTCTGGACCTGTGGCTTCTTCAATCTTGAGCTGTGACCCCTTGTGGGGCGAGCGTCCGCCAGCTCCAAGTAAGGACACTCGACTGAGTAGTGCCCCTTCCGTGCCTTTTTTCTGTGACTTTTTTTCTTGTGACTTTTTTTCTGGATTCATGCTACCTGGGTGGGGTGGGGGGTTAGGTTACATTAGCATTAAGGTTTTTAATCATCACATGAAGTAAGATGAGGTGCCTAATCTGCATTTTTTGTGTATGTTTCTCGAGGTAAGAAAGCCTTTACTGTACCTTCTATGGAGAAATTGCGTCAGGCTGTTGCTCAGTGCCGGACCACTCTAATCAAGTACGGTATCACCAACATTCTTGTTAATGATTATAGTCACTCAAATTACACCATGATATTCATGTACATTACCTTAAGGGAATCAATGATAACAGGTCCATCCATTTCATCCACCTCCTGGGATATGGCCACCACCACACCCTCATACCCATTGTTGACTAGTTTGACTCTTGATCCTCCCCTTACTCCAACAACCAACAGCAGAGAAGTTGCAGCCCAAACATAGATATGGGTCTTCATCCTGAAATTTTACATGGTTGTTAAACAATCAGTATAAGTAATTAACATCTGATGAGCAATCCTGGCAAGTTGAATAATAATCGTTAGTGGTACTTCAGGGGTGGATCCAGGGGGGTCCTGGGAGTCCCAACCCCCCCTTTCATTAGAAAATTCTAATACTTTTTCTATAATGCAGTATTGTACTCGGGTGTTTTTGTTTAGTAAAAAGTAATTACTATTGATCTCAGAATATCTACTAATATCTAGTGCACATGTCTTCAAAATGGCCTCAAAATGCCCATTAAATTGTTCACATTTCAAAATTTTCCAGGAGGGGCTTACAGAGCTGCCCCCCTATAACTCCCCAGCTGGGTGGGCTTGCTGTGCTCGCTGTGTTCCCCCACCCACAACTTCTTGAACCCCCTTTTGATATTCCTGGATCCGCCCCTGTACTTTCGTTAGTCATTATCAAACATAAATTAATTTTATTCATGCAAAACAATCATGCAGGATTTAATTCAAATAAAACATGGATATGTTCGTTTTGCGTGAACAAAATACTGATAAAATATTTTATTTCATGTGAAGCATTGTGTTGCGTCTCTGTAAGAAAGCGTGTTGGCACTTGGGCCTTCATTATTGAGCGGCAGAAATTGGACAGAAGATTGTCTTATTGATGTGAATGTGTAAATCGATGTAGGATATTTAATGTTATTCACGATTGTGTATATTAAAATATTCTCCCTACTCGACTGGAGCCATGGGCCGTGGGGATACAACCATAAAATCATTGCCATATGCCAAGATTTATTCAGGAAATTGTAAATGAGTTGCATTCCTGGCTGTGATTGACCGTCCAAAGACCGATCAGAGAATAGTACTGCTATTAGCAAAGACAGTCAATAGTGATAATAAATTGAAGTGAAAACAAAATTGGGACAAGCAAAAGGCACGAGTGCCCTGAAGTAACCAAGAAACATTTTTGGTGCCACGAAGAAACATTTTCTTTTGAGTATGTGTTTTCTAAAGGGCTGTAATTGTGCATATGATCCACCACTCATAAGGAGGTACAGTGTACATAATGATAGTACAGTGCATAGAGATACCAATTCGTTGAGGAGAACTGGAAAAGATAGCAAGAGTAAATAATACAGGGGGTCCCCGGGTTATGAACGGGTTCTGTTTCTGAGGACGTTTGTAAGTCGGATTTGTACGTGAGTTGGAACATATGCTATATGCATACCATACTTACAAAAAAAAATTAAAATCCCACTATATCATAGCCTGAATCCGTATATACAGTACATCTAAAATCATTTAATTTAAGAGAAAGGGAGAAATAGAATGACAGTAAATGAAAGTAAAAAATAAGTCATCAGGTAAATAAAATATTGTAAATTTCAAGTTTAACCCCGATTGTATCGGCGGGCGTTCGTAATTCGTAAGTTCGTAAGTCGGATGCACCTGGGATGTACCAACGGTAAGGAGGCGTATCGTATGTCCCAATTGGACGAAGAAACTGCAATAATTGAGACTTAAGGCGAAAAGGACCTACTGTAGGTGTGTAAGTTGACAATGTGCTGAAGTTCTCGGGTCACTGTGAGAAGAAGGTGAATCAGGCAACTAAATTATTAGGTCTTATAAGAAGGCCTTTCAGGTATCCATTCGTAATGATCTTCAAGAGTGAGGTGCTTCCCTACTTGGAGTACTGTCACCCTGTCTGGTCCCCGAGATATGCTAGGGACTGTCAGTTGACTGAAAATGTCACAAAGGAGGCAACCAGATTGGTACCTGCAGTTAGTATCTAAGCTATCCAGAGAGATTACAGTGCCTGCATCTGCCTAGCTTATACTACAGACGGGGAAGGGGTGACCTAATTGAGGTGTATAAACATCTGGGAGGGCACTACTCAGTTGAGTGCCCAGCCTAGAGCTGGCAGACGCCCGCCCCACAAGGGGTCACAGGTCAAGGTTGAAGGAGCCGCAAGTCCAGAAAACTGTGAGGGCAAATTTTTCGGAGTGAGGGTTGTGAACTCTTGGAACCTCCTGCCAGAGTGTTGTGACGGCACTGAGTGTAAGCTGTTTCAAGACCAGAATTGACCAACACTGGAGCAGGTTCAGATATATTTAGGAGCCAGTGCATACCCAGTACTTGCCAACAGTGAGTAACAACAGAGACATGACTAACTGCCCAAGCGGCTAACTAGGCGATCAATGGCGAAGAGGATAAAAGTAAAAAGTAAAAAGAGTCTAGACATCCTCCCCGTTACCTACCCCACCCTACTCAGGAGTGCGAACTGTGTGTCCCACAGGTGTAAGTAAGTAAAAGGAAGAAAAAAGTTTGTGACAAGACATGAATCAGCGTAGGGTATCAGGGTATCGTGTTGGCATGCAATTATTGCAGGGTGACGTCTAATGTAGATTGTGTGGGTCTGGGCTTAATAGCGTTTAGGATGATGCAGAATGCGGTAAAGCATGAAGGCTGTTGCTGGTATTGCCCTGACCGTATAACCAAAGTAAATGAGGCAATTGCAGATCATAAGGGAAAGAGATACTTGGAGACAAAAATAGAGGAAGCTAAATTCGTGTTGGATGTCAAGCTGGAGCAGGTTGGGAGAGAGATCTTCACTATGACTGAGGAAATAGCTGACAGAACAGAGGAAGTAGTTAAGAATACCTATGCTCAGGTTGCAGCAGGGTCACAGAAGGTGACGGAAAGTAATGCAGGATTTGAACAGGTCCTCCAGCAGCTAGGGACTCTTGAAGAATTGTGTTGAAGAGTTGACAACTAGTAGACCTACTGATATGGGAGATGAGGAAAAACGGGAACGTTACGATCACATGAACAACATAATAGTGTTTGAAGTCCCAGAGAGTCAGTCGGAAAAAACAGAAACTAAGAAAATGCACGAAAGTTAAAATTTCAAAATATTTGTGAGGAGGCTCTGAAATTATCAGCTCCCACTCACGACATGAGGGGGCTAGGACAAAGGCAGGAGAACAAGCCCCCCTCCCCCCCTCATTCAGGATCACTCTAATGAGTGAGGGTAAGAAATGGGAAGTTATTCTTTTTTACTTTTATCCTCTTCGCCACTGATCGGCTTGTTAGCCGCTTGGGCGATCGGTCACGTCTCTTTTCCTTTATATTCTTCACCAAAAGGTCGGCTCGCTAGCCTGTAAAAACTTAGCAGTGAATCATACATTTTGGAATCGTATGGTAATGCAGAAGGAACAGCACAAAAAAACTCCTGGACTCCGTGAAGCAGACGGAGAGGCGTCGATGAGGAACAGGGACGGACGTACATGGTTATATACAAGGAGAGGGAGTGGTAGCAAGTGCACTAGTCCAGAGCCTGGGGGCAGCCAGACACCCTCACCCGCTCCACCTCCCACCCAGGATGAGTCGAGAGCCATGTAAACAATGTCTTCTCTGACCACACCCCACAGAACACAAGTGATCAGTAAACAAGGCAGCTGCAAAGAATGGAGGGTGGCCGGAGTCAATACCAAGACCAGAGACATTACCGAGGACAATTTTAGCTTGAAAATAATGTACACTAATACTGACATGTTCCTTGACAAGAGAGAGGAGTTTGAAACACTACTGAAGGTACCTCAATCTGTGCCCGGGTGGGCTAATCCCCGTTAAGAAAAAAAAAATACTACCTGATAGAAGGTGTTGTAGAACTGTTGTACAAGAACAGGAAAATCGATCCAGAGGAATGTGAGTTCATTATAGATGGGTGACTCATTTATGAACCTTTCTCAAGAAATTTGCAAGAGGGATGTGGTTATCTATGTAAGGCAAGACCTTAAAGCCAGCCAGGTTAGGGTGCGGGAAGCAGATGTTTTTGAAGAATCTAGTGGATAGTGGTATAAAATTAAACAAAAGGGGAGAGGCTTACTCATTGTCAGATATATCTACAGATCCCTAAATTTAAGTTCATTAAACCAAAGAAACTTAAGAGCCTTAATTGACAACGTAACGGCGCTAAACCCTCCTTGTCATGGGGGACTTTAACTATGGTGACATCGACTGGAGAAATGAATCCACGCCAAACGACCTAAATAATCCTGCTGTTCTTTTTGTAGAAACTGAGACAATTTTTTATTCCAACATGGGCAGCGGCGAGCGCCACAGCGACTGGAGATGCGATGGGATTCTCAGACTTAGGGGGATGAGATGAAAATTTTAATCCAGACATCGTGTCTCTTCAAGTCATCCCCAATGTCTTGGGGGAGCTGTGTGATGTTTATGTAATGCAAACGAGCCGAGCGAGTGAACCACGGCGTGGCGTGAATGAGCGTGCGCACGAGTGCTGTCCTCTTGTGGCGTGATTGACGCGGTGTGAATGAAGTTGGTTGTCTGAATAGTTAGACGACATAGCACGATGTTTCGTGATCATGTGTAAATTATTCTGTGAGACAGATTGTTTCCTGCTGCACCAATGTACAGACTTCTCCCTGAGAACTGCCTCTGTGAAGACTGTGTTTCATTGAGCCGTCAGAACCAAGTAGAACTTGAACAATCGGTAGCGAAGAGCATATAAGAAAAAAAAATCATTGGGTTTGCGAGTAATAATTGCTCAATCAATGTTAAGCATTAATACTGGTTTTCAGGCGCATTTGAAAGAAAATTTGACGTCAGTATTTGTTCTAAGAATAAGATGCATAATTATGTCATTCTTTTGTTTTATGTGCGAGCCACAGATGCACACTCCTACCTTTTTCTAGAACAATTTTTGAGAGGAAAGGCAATGTCAGTCGAACACACACCAGTAAGATAAGTCAGCTAATTGATTTTCTGGCAGCATATTTAAGATAATCTCGTAAATAATAAGCATCTAAAAAAATTGCCATATCTGGGTGTATTTGGGGTAGCCATCTATGTATTTATCATTTTGGTGAGTCGCAACACTGGAGCTTATGCTACCGAGTACCGATCCCGCCGTTCACGGAACTTCCACTTTTCTCCATGCAGCCAACCCTATTACTATAGCTGAGTAGAATCAATATTATAAGT